TAACGTTTATTTATTTTTGAGACAGAGAGAGACACAGCATGAACGGGGGAGGGGCAGAGAGAGAGGGAGACACAGAATCGGAAGCAGGCTCCAGGATCCGAGCTGTCAGCCCAGAGCCTGATGCGGGGCTCGAACGCACGGACCACGAGATCGTGACCTGAGCTGAAGTCGGACGCTCAACTGACTGAGCCACCCAGGCGCCCCTCGATCTGCTTTTAAAAAATATCTGTTGAACAGATAAATAATGCGCCTTAATCCCCCCACATGATGCTGGCTGCTCCTGAATTATTACTTCTGTGATGTTAGGGGTAGAAACTGAGTGAGAACAACAAAGGAAAGAGTTCAGATACGTACTAAGTTGGACTATGCAGGGACGTGCACACTACTCATGACCAATCTCAACATACTTTATAAGCCACGATAGGTTTAAATTGGAAAAAAGCGATATGATCTCAACAGACGACAGTTCTAGTGATTTCAAGCAGACTCACCCTGCGCCCTCAGGGATGAGAATTTCTCCTAGTTCCCGAGGCTGACCTCACAGCCTGCCACTGTTGACAGGGCAGTGGTCCCAGCCAGTCAAGTGAGACAGACCCAGACCAGGAGTGGGCCTGCAGACAGCTGCTCAGAAAAGCAGTATTTGCTCTGAAAGCAGCAAACATGGCTTGGTATAGACTTCTACTAAAACTTGACTCATTGTTCACCTGCAATTTGAATTTAACTGGGCATCCTGTATTTTATTGGGCAATCCTAATTACACCTGAACATTGGTGTGAAAGCACAGTGCTATTAATTTTTCTAGTTATTATCCAGTGGGGGACACCCAAAGGGATGTGTAGCTCTAGGTATAAGATAAAGGGTTCCCCATGAAGGCCTTTGTATACCCCACCTATGTGGCTTCCCTGTCTTCTTCCATTAAAGAAATAAATCTCGTTTGCATCAAAGTTGACATTTTTCACTCTTATTCACACTGGCTAAAATTTCATCCCAAACTTAGAACCGTAACTCTTATCAAGCTGCTGTTTGAAAGGTGCAAATATGTTTTAAGAAGTGGAGATAGAGGGAAGGAGAAAGGGCATCTTTTTTCAGTCATTCACACTCTAGTATGAATTGGCTTAACCCTAACAGTCGGCCTCATAGCACATTGGTGATTTTATCCACTGAAGTGATTTAAGAATGTGAGCCACTGGGGGGCACCTAGGTGGCTCAGTCAGTTGAGCGTCTGACTTCGGCTCAGGTCATGATCCCACAGCTCGTGGGTCTGAGCCCCGTGTGGGGCTCTGTGTTGACAGCTCAGAGCCTGGAGCCTGCCCCTCCCCCACTCACACGTTCACTCTCCCTCTCTCTCCCTCAAATATAAATAAATATTAAGAAAAAAAAAAAAAGAATGTGGGCCACTTAAGGAAGACTGGATACCCTCACAGGGGAAGGCATGGAGGTCTGAGAGCAGGGCACAGGGAAGGAAGGTTCGGTAGGAACCCACAGACAGAGAAGACCCCCAAACAGGTTACAGTGCTTAGTGTTGTTTGGACCGGGCCTCATTCAAGGCCGTCTTCTTTTACCTATCAGCTCCCCCAGGGTGAATGAAATGCCCACTCTTCCTGCTTTGTCCTAATGAAGACAGAATACAGCTTTTCACTTCCTTCTCTAATGCAGTTCTTGATAAGCAAAGGTCACGTTAAGTAACTCCTTAGTTTTTCTTCTGTGCCCAAGCTTAATTTCTTTTTCTTACTTGACACACTGGATTGTTCTTTAAAAATAAATAAAATAAAACCAAGCAACACTTCTCTCTCATCGAGCCTACTTAACCTAAATTGAAGCCTAACTTGAGTAACAGGTATAACACAACGTGCTGTAGCCCCATGAGCAGGACCTGAAAGTGTCACAGCAGAGCCTGAAGAAGAGCATGATCGACAGGTGCATAAATGAGTGCACGACGTCGACTACTTTCTGCCCAAGCGTGCGTTGTCTCCTACGCGTTCCTGTGCGTGCGTGTGTTGGCAGGGGGGTAGTATATCCAACCTCTTTTTACAGCTCTCCCAAGAAGGTAATTAATATGGCTACTGACTGTCCATGTAAGGTCACCTCTACCTTGTCTGGTCTCTCACAGGCTGAGGGATTAGCCAGTTGCCATCTTTCATTCTACTTCAGCAAAGCCTTCCAGAAAGATGATGCCAGTCAGTTCTCCTTCTCACCTCTGGCAATGCTAATGGGCTCTTTCTGGGTGGCAAGGACTGACAAATATTTTACAGTACGATAAATGCGACCCGCGATTTCATAAGCTACAAAGCACGTTTACACCAACCCCAGCTCTCAGCAAAGACTGTTTATTGGTGTTGCATTTACTTGAGCAAATGTGAGATAATTCTCTGAATTTCTTGGAGAATCTCAGGGCAGCAGTGTCCTGAGCTGTGGCTGAACTCTCACACCGAGGAGGGCTGTCCCGGGAAACACACAGCCATGCCTGGACCAAAAGAAAAAGACTAATGGTGTTCAGGAGCTAGCTCTTTTGTCCCGCCAGGTTACTGCCTTTCCAATGTGTCCGTTGCTACTTAATAACATCACCTGGGCCACAGAATAAAAACAAAACGAAACTCACTGTTTCCAGGGTCTCCGGACACGGCGATGACCGAAGCGGGGGACGTGCCCACACTGTTGTTAGCTGTGACGTGGATTTGGTAAGAACACTGGTCGAGGGTTAGTTCTGTGCCATTGGCCGGAGCAGGAATGGAGAGGAGCTTCAAGGTGGATGGTCTGTCTAGATTTTCTAGAACTACATTATAGAAGAGAATCTTCCCATTGGCCTGCAATTTTGATAGTGGCTGAGAGAAAATACGGATAATCATTTCAAAATGGGTTTTCGGGGCACCTGGGTGGCTCAGGCAGTTAAGCGGCCGACTCTTGATTTCGGCTCAGGCAATGATCTTACAGCTTGTTGAGTTCGAGCCCCACATTGGGGTCTACACTCATAGCGGGGGCCTGCTTGGGATCCTGTCTCCCGCTCTCTGCCCCTCCCCCACTCTCTCAAAAATAAATGTTAAAAAATTCAAAATGGGTTTTTCTTTGAAAGGAGTTTGCATCATTACTTTTTCATCTTTCCTGGCCCCCAACTGCTTTACACACACACACACACACACACACCAGCAAATTAAAAAACAGTTTAATAGAGAAAATAACCATCTAAAGCAAGCTTGAAATCAGGCATTCCGCGGTAACTGAAGTGGAGTACAGAACAGGATTACTTGAGCTCCTCAAGAGCATGTTGTATCTAGAGAGGCATGACCAAGTCAGGAGAGGAAGGGGCTCCTTCAGCCTGGATAAGAAGGGACTCAGAGGGCACCGAGGGGAGAAGACACGAGCAGACCCGGGCAGGAGGGGCCTGGCCCCTGGCCTCCCTTCCCCCTCCAGCCATCCTTCCCTGCGCAGTTGTGCCCTGAGCCATTCACGGAGCACGCGGTTCCCTCTAGACCATCCTCCAGGTCGAAGAGAATTCCCTGCCCACAAGGTCCCAAGCCTGGTGCCAGGGGCCGTCCCCCCCAGCCTGCCCTCTCAAGAACAGCCGGTGCTGGTGCCCCTGGTGTGAGCACCCCCAGGTCTGAGAATGGGTGCAGAGAGAGGCTGTCTGCGGGGCTGTGCCCATGTGTGAGTGCCTGGGCTCCCTGCAGAGATGGCCAGTGTGGAGGTGGGAAGGACAGCCAGGTGGGCGGTGGCTGGGGGCCAAGCCATCCGGTACGGTCATGTTTGATAAGAAAACACGAGCTGAGGAATCCGGGAGTTTCAAGCACAAGCCTGGACTTCCAGGTTGCCATGGAGGCCTTAATAGACAAGGCACAATGACAAAATAGATTTTAGTTTACTTTTTTCAAAATACATGTAAAGTATTTTTTAGCTTGACCCCTAACTCCTACATGTAAGTTACTGTACGTAAATAGTTGTATCTTTCAAATATGGTATGTGCTTTTCCACTTACACCGGTGCCCTGGGCCTTGCAAAACTTAGAGCAGTGGGGCGGGGATTCCCCCACTGGGTAAGACGTTCTGCTGGACTCATGTTAAGATCCCTGCCAGCTGGAGCCCTGCACTGGCAGCCAGCGTCCCACGGAGGGACAGTGCCAAGCCAACGTGTCTGGTGGAATCTGTGCGTCTTACCTTCCAGAATAAAGTCACGACACAATGTCCCTGCACTGACTTCACATTCCTCCAGACATCAGGAGCCTCTGAGGGAGCTGAAATCAACCAAAGAAAAGATCGTGGGTTGCGATATGTACGGAGAACGGTATGTTCACCCTTTTTCTACTCTGGTCAAAGGAGGCGAAGATGACCCGTCCTACCTGAGGCTTGTTTCTCATTTTCTCACTCTCTGTGACTTCCACCCACGTGACCACGGCCGCATTGTTCACTCCTCACCCGGTGCACATGGTAGGTGCCGTACAAAAGGTCTGCTGCATCAAACTGAAAAGCTCTTATCAAGCCTGAGCTTTTGGAAGCCACCGGAACATTTTGGAACCATCCATCAGCTAGACCAACTCTAGGAGGTCAGTTAGGTGAATTTCCCATTTGTTGAATTTCTAGGAGCAGCAGACCATTGCTACAGCCTTGCTCCCTTCGCAAAGGTTGTAACGGAAGCGTGCTAATGGACAGCCCGGGGGCTGGTTGTACCCTTCCACACCTTCACAATTCACATTGGCTGGTCTTCTCACCGGGTCCTAACCTGGGCGCCTCTCCTCGATCCCCTTCCACTGGGAAGGCCACATCCCCCACCTCCCCACGCTGCTGTCTCCCCCAGCTCCTGGCCTGCCTGGGTCAGCTGCCCGCCCGACAGACACTCAGGGCACCCGTTCACTGCCCTTACTACATTGTTCTGGAAAAGTGTGCATCCTTGTCTTTACCTCCAATCAACTGTAGGACAAGTGATCTGATTCCAAACATCCCCATGGAGGAAGAATTACTTTGGAACATAACACATAAAGATTTAGCCGTTTTACAAAAATATAGTTTACTGCCCCCGATAACTGAAACTTAAGTCCTTTTTTAGTTGCAGACACTTTCTCCTCAATTTAAAGATGACCATGGATTTTCCAAAAAAATGTATTGAAGCAGATTTCAATTTGCTAAATAGCCCACTGGAGAAGCCAGTATTAAATCAAAAACGTATTGAAACAACATGGGACTCTAAGCTTAATGCAAAATCTTCAGCTGGTTTATAAATTAGTCCTTGTCAGAACAGTGCCCCACAGCACAGTTGACAGTGCTCCATATTTGTGTCACATAGTCTCTACCCTGGTGCCATTTAAGTCTGCTCACTACAATTCTACTTAAGTATGGTTATAATACACATAGGCATCGACTTTTCCAGCATCAAGCAAAGTGTTATCAGAGGCAAAAAAAAAAAAAAAAAAATCTATAGATTCATCACTAGCAAATTCATCTCATTTTCTTGCTCTCATCAAAAGCAACATTAATTATTTTTAAGGTTTACGGTACTATAACCTAAAAGTATATACAATTTACTAAACACTCTATCCGTTTGCCACTTTCCTTTTGCACTTAACTTTAGTTATAGTGTTGGAATAAACTTCCAAAAAAAAAAAAAAAACAAAAAAAAAAACAAACCCAAAGCCAAGCAGTAACAAAGGAAAAATTCTTTAATAAGACACAACTGGGGAGTGACATTACTGTCAGGAACAGGGCTCTCTGCGGCAGATTCTCCAGGGGTCTATGCTCCCAGTGAGGGGAGGGGTGGGTACATCAGACAAGGAGAGGGAGCCTGCCAAGTACAACTGGTGACCAACCCTTGTGTAGGATCCGATCAGCTGTCCCTGTCACCCCTCAGCTCGAGTCACTGCTTTAACGGTCCTCAAGGGGGAGCGCCTGGGTGGCTCAGTCGGTTAAGCTTCTGACTCTTGGTTTTCGGCTCAGATCATGGTCTCAAGGTTCGTGAGATCGAGAGCCCATACAGGGCTCTGCACTGACAATGTGGAGCCTGCTTGGGATTCTCTCTCTCTCTCCCTTCTCTCTCTGTCCCTCTCTCACATGTGCAAGCATGTGCATTTGCTCTCTCTCTTTCCAAATAAATAAATAATCTTAAAAATAAAATAAAATAAAATGGTCCTCATGGAGAGACACAGAAAGAGCCCTGCCAACCTATACACATAAATATAAGCAAGAATAAAATATATACATATAATCCTTCCTTTGGCAGCCAGAGAACAAGACCTGAATCAACAAGATCTCAAGGCTGTAATAACAACATCAAGAGACAGAACACATAGAATCCAGCTCTGGTTAAGGGTGGAGCTCTGGAGTCAGGTGGCCTGGGTGTGAGTCACAGTCAACAGGCTGACGGGCTAAGCCAATTAAGTCACTTAGCTTCTCTGTGCCTCCTGTCCTCATCTAGGAAGTGAGGATAATTACTCATAGTGTCTCCTGCGTGCTGTGAGGAGGAAAAGGGAAAAACACGGCAAGCGCCTCAAGCTGTCTGGAGCTCAACGTTAGCTGCTATTACAATCATTAATACTGTTAGGTCTCTGCCATTCATTAACTTTGCAAACTAGGTGAGTCTCTCCAATCTATGGGCCCAAACTGCCTCATCTGTAAACTGGTCAACAACAGTAAATTATTATTTTGAATTGGGAGGAGAGGAAAGCAGAGCTCTCCTGAAAGCAGGGCATCCAGTCTCCTGAGGCCTACGTGAACTGAAAGATAATGGTTATTTGTCAGAAAAACCCACCCACTGTTCCGTCAGTGGTGAGGAACCTCCCACCGCAACAGTGATCGAGAACGCTCACAGTTTGCTGTTGTTGAACAAACGATGTATCAATAATTGTTAAGTTTCCAAACACCATTACATTTCCAAACATAGCCTGAAGTTGTTTGGTAGGAGATCAACGCCTTCCTCGGCAGCAACACTACCGTTTGTCCCCAGTCCTTAATTTAAAAGTCTATCCTAATTTACGGAGCCCCAGATCCGATGGGAATCCAGCAACGCCAAGAGCTTATAAGCCGTTCTGGCAAAACCAAAGACGAGAGAGAAAATGTACAAAAGAAATAATGCTGAATGACCTAGGTCACTGAGGTGGATGACCATTGAGGTGGATGAGGTGGATCCCGCTGAGGTGGATGTCTTCCTGTTCACATCTCACTAAGCATTTAATTCAGTTCTTTTTTTAAAAGATGGTACTCAGGGGCGCCTGGGTGGTTCAGTCCATTAAGCGTCTGACTCCCAATTTCGGCTCAGGTCACAATCCCAGGCTGTGGGATCAAGTCCCAAGGTGGTCTCCTCACTGAGTGTGGAGCCTGCTTAAGGTTGTCTCTTTCCTCTCCCTCTGCCCGCCCCCCCCCAACCCTCCCCAGCTCATGTTCGCAAGTGCTCTCTCTAAAAAACAATAAATGAACAAAACAAAACAACCACAAAACGATGATATTCAGCCTCTGTTGTAATAGTTTTTCCTTAGTTTTTGGTACAACTGAAAGCTCTCGGGGAAACCAACCCATCTCTTGTGAGTCAGTTTAGATCCTTGGGTTAAAGAGAGGGGAACTGAACATACCAGCTTCAGCCGTGGTAAAGTTGCAACGAGTCCATTCACTCCATTTCCAGAAGTGGTTGGCATTAGCACAGCGCACTTGGGCCGCGTACTCTGTGGAAGGCTCCAGTTTCTTCATGAGGTGCTTACCATTCACCTTGACAGAAACATTTTGCTTCTTCGAAGAAAGGAAGGAAGGGAGGAAGGAAAAGAAGAAAATCAATGAGATGAACTGAAAAAAGGAGACAGGAAGAAAGAAGAAAGAAGACAGGAGGACCAGCGAGCATACTTCATGGCAAAGTCCAATCACAGCCTGGTCCATTCTGAGGTGGGGTACGACTACTACTTCTTTGTGAAAAAATCTCGAAGGCCCTCTGCCCAATGCTAAAGCTTGTGATTAATTTCAGGACTGTTTTTAAACAGATGACCCATATCATCTGAACCCCCACAGAAATAAGATTTTAAAGAGGTTTTATTTATTAGTCTCTCTGTTCAGGACATAAAGAGATTTTTGAAAATAGAAAGTGAAGCAGTATTCTTACTTGTATCACTTTTCCTTCACCATAGAGTTCAATCTGACACAATAGCGTGGAATAATTCCCAATGGAGTGGACCTTCCAGGTCATGGTGGCATTTGTGGCACTTACATTTTTGACAAATACGTTAAAGGGAGCCATTGGGTGAACTGCCAAAAAAAAAAAAAAAAAAGGAAACAAAATTAAAAAAAAATTCAACCATAAATCCAAAGACTTTGGTAAATAGGCAGCTCATTTCTTATTTATTTTTGTTTAGTTTTGAAAAAATGGCAACAAAACCAGACTTAGAGCACAGATGGAGTAAGCCAACTGTAGCCTTTCTCTCTCACCAATTATATTAGAAACTCTGAACAAAACATAAAAAGAAACTACTGAGGACTCTTAAAATTAAACAAAAGCAGGCAGATTATGAAGGAGAATCAAAACTTGGAGAAGGGGCTCATGGGGAGAATATAACAGAACCCAAAATCTAAATAAAATAACGTCAGTAATATCAAAGGTACAATCTAGAATTATTCTACCTACAAAACTCCAGAACATATCACCAATTTCCAAGAGAAAAGACAGTCAAAGGATGCCAACCTCACGGTGACCTGCCCATAAGAATGCAATTCGTACGGACTTTAAGGCAGATCTGCGACATAAAAGTAAGCACATTTGAAATGAATAGAAGAAAAACACTTCTCAGCAGAGAAACAGAAACTATTAAAAAAAAAAAAGAATCAAATGGAAATTTTGGAGCCAAAAAATATAATATCTGAAATGAAAAACTGACTGGATGAGGTTCAGGTCTTGAAAAAATAAAGAAAGCCCCTCCCATCCTGTCTATCCCCCTGAATCCAATTAAATATATCACATGGAGCATTCTCGAATATTCTATTTGAGAACTCTGATAGTGGCAGGCAGAGAAGACCAGAAATTCAAGTATTGCTGCATTGGTAGTGAGAGGGTAAAGGAAGGCTTCTATGTTTTACTTAAAGTGAAAAATACTAACTCTTGTGAAAGATTAATAACATATTGTAATCTCCGGGGGGGGGGGAAGGAATACAAATATATATATAGGCAAAAGCCAGTAGATAAATTGAAGTGGAATACTAAAAAAGTATTCAAATAATCCAAAGGTGGCAGGCTGGGAAGAGATACTCAATTTTAGGGAGGTGTAGATCAAAAACAGAGGGAACAAATAGAAAATAACTAATAAAATGGTAGGCGTGCGTCCAACCCTATTAATAATTATGTTAAATATAAATGGTCCAAACATACCAATAAAAACAGAAATTGTCAGATGGGAGAGAAAACAAAAGCTGGCACGGCCCTCGCTTTCAAAGGGCAACAGAGGAGCAAGCACGAATCGACAACTACAAAATAAATGTAACATTGCAAGTGGGGTCATGACAGTGAAAGTGTAAAAGGAGTTTTTGGCCAAAAAGATGGAGTTCTAGAAGTCCCTATCCTGAGCCTTCATTTTTTATCTCCTTTTCGGTCACTATCCACAGGCTGATGACTCACTCACAAGTCTAACTCTCCATCCCAGACTTGTTCGATGCGCTCCAAACTCTATATCCAACTCTCCTCAACATCTCCCCGGAGATATCTGAAAGACATCTCAATCTTGACTTGGTAAACACGGAACTCTGTGCTCCTGCTCGGAGCTGCTCTTCCCCAGTACCTCCCCATTTCAGGGGATAGTTCCAATACTGGCCCAATTGCTTAGGCCAAAACCCTTGCAATCATCCTAAGGAACCATCTTAAATTCCTCTTCCCCTTACCATGCACATGCCTTCCCTAAGTAAGTGCTACCAACTCCATCCCAAAGTGAATTCACAATATGACCGCTTCCCCACCAACTTCATCACCCCATCTGGTCCAAAGTCTCTGCCTGACAACCGCAGCGGCCTCCTAACCAGCTCTCCATCTCCACCCCCGCCCCTGATGGTCCACCCTGAGTGATCTTTTCCCACAGTGTGAGTCACATCATTTATCTGTCCTGATGAACACCTGTCAACACAACTAGGTAAGACCATCCAGTTCCACGGTTGTCACATGACCAGGACACTGCCTACCACCCAAATCTCCTTTATCTCTGGTATGAGCATGAGGACATTCTTTCTGTCTCTCCAACAACCCAGAGTTTGGTCTTATCCCATGACCTTTTCAAATCTTATTCTTTTTGCTTCAAATGCTCTTCCGCTAGACGTCTTCTACTTCTTTCTTCAACTCCCTCATCCTGATACAGGCATTATCTCCCCTAAACCTGAATTTTACCTTTTCCACAGCACATATCAGTACTTGAAGTACCCTATGTTTACTGTATGTCTCCACTCCCCGCTCTCAACCCCTCCTCCTACACACACTAGCAGACAAGCTCACAAGGGGCAGCTATCCAGTTATGTTCACTGCCAGGTCCCCAGTGCCCGCCACACTGGAGGCACTCTGTAATTACCCAGCTGACTGAGTGGTGATGAATCTAAAAGATGTGTAGGAATTAAGAAGGTGAAAGGGGAAGGAAGAACATTCTAGAAAAAGTGAACAACATGTGTAAAGATTCTGCGTTTCATAAAAGAGAAAACAGGTGGTCAAACAATGTAGATCGAAACTACCATAAAATACCACGGTGTAGCCATTAAACTGACAAAAATGAAAAGGGTGACCGACCATACCACCTTGGAAAGACTACATGAATTCAAGGGCAAGGGAATAATTGGTGCCACTTTGGAAAGCCATGTGGCACTGTCTCCTACGTGGCACATGCAAATTCTCTATGTCCTCACCAATCCCACTCTTAGGTATACACTCAAGAAAAACAACTGGAGATGAGTCCTGCACACATAATGCTCATATTAACACCACACCCAAGAGCAAAACCTTGATACAACCTGAAAAACCAACAAATGAGATGCCTGGACAAAATACTGTATACTTACACAATGAAATACTTGATAACAGTGAGAATCAATAGACTATAACAACACTCAATAATATGGGTCAATATTAGCAATTTAATATTATCTACATAGTAATTACTAAATTACTACATATAGCTTGATGTCTTTTACATACATTAAAACCAAACAAAATAAAAATACAGTCTTTTTAGAATTGCATTAGAAGTGAGAATACGTACTCCCATACAGGCACACACACGTGCAGGATTTAAATGATCTCAGTGGAGGAACAGGGTGTGGGGGGCTGTGGGGCAGGAGATGAAGTGAGTTACTGTTAGAATTCTAGTCTAAAGGTGAGTAGTAAGCATACAGGTGCTTATTGCATCTTCAAAACAAATCATAGGGGACCAGGGGCCATGCGTGCATCCGTGAAGTGTGGTGTCGACAAGAGATATAGATTAAAACGTCCACGTAGGATGTGACTTAGGCTAACATCTATAGCACATTTCCGTGATCACACAGTGTGTGACACAACAACGAGTCAGTAACCACAGCAAACTCCGACACTGGTCTCACCTCGATGAGTCAAGCTGAAAAGAAGATGAACACTTCTCTTTCTTAAGTAGTTTTCAGCTGTGAGTGTGAAGTTGTACATTTCTTGGGAGTCTGGAGATACTTCCCAGTTACACCAGCTTTTGTGTTTACAAAGTGTCTTTTTCCCAGAAAACCTTAAAAGAAAAACACACCCAAAACAATAATTTCAGGGTTTCCACTTCTGTCAACGCAGATCTGCAACCCTGTACCCTTGGGGCACACTTGGTGGCTTTCAAACTGTGTTGCACACAATGGCACTGATCCACTTGCATCAACAAATACCACCAAGGAAGATGTTGTTTCAACAACTTCCATTTATGTGGTTAAAGGTTTATTCGGTTTATGTAGCGATGAATTGCTGACTGTCCACCCCCAACATGGGTGGTGAGAATACTCCTCAACTTATTTTGAATATTCTTAAACAGTTAGAAATTAGATATACCCAGATCACCAGATGGAACAATTTACACCTCAAGATTCATCATTAACTGTTTTTATCATTTTTATGCTACGTTTTCCTTTCATGGAACTCAGGTGAAAAGCATTATACAGTTGTGACCGCTTAAAGACTTCTTTCTGACTCTGGTAGGGTGGTTGTAAACTATTTCTTCACATTGTCTGTAACATCTAAATGTGACCCTTATTGTTGGCACAAGAAGGGACCTGTCAAGAACGTAATCAGAGCCGACTTACGATTCAAACAAAGTGTAGCTTTGGGAAAGCTGTGTGAGCAAGCCAGCGTCGCTCCCGGGAACCCAAGTACAGTTCAAAGTCTTCAAGTCCCGGGTTTCACAAGAAAAATCCTTGGGCTCTTCAAATACTTCTGGCCACACAAAGAAAACAGATGAAAGATCTAGTCAAATCCCTTTATTGAAAGACAAGGAAAATAGGAAAAGCTCCCTTTGGGTCTGAGGCCACAGGGCTGAATGACAGAAGGATCACACTGGCAGCTCCAGAAGGTCACGTGTCAGGTGCCCCATCTTGGCCCCTTCTCTTCCTTTCCTTGTTCTTTTCTGAGGCATCACCGGGACGGGGACCGGTGGTAGTTCTGCGGTGAGCTGCACTGTGTCCATGTGATGGAAGTTGGACCCCCAGTACCTGCTAGTAGGCGCTCAACAAGTCGCCAAGTGTCAGAGTGAGTGAGCGAAAGAAAGAAAGAATGAATGAATGGAGTCAGTGTTGCCTGCTGCCTCACTGTGGAAGCTGGGGCTTGCAGACAGCCTCAGGGCTATTATGCTTGGGATGCCCTGCAGTCAGATTTGGGGAGCCATTAAACTCAGCAGCAGGGAGTGGGAGTTCTTAGGACCCGGGCAGCACCTCCAAGCCCCCGGAGCCACGAGGCTCTCAGAGGCTGTTCCAAGGGGAACAGCTGCACCAGGTGTCTGGGAGCCTGGAGTCTGCCCCTGGCTGCAGAAGCAGGGACCCGGCAGTCGCAGATATTGGCCTACCTAGCGAGCAGGGGAAGGGAGGCCTCCACACAAAACACAGGAGGCCAGCGGGCATGTATGTTCACACAGACCTACATAAACAATAAAACGTTCCCTCTCTACTGGCTGCCACCGACGGAGGCACCTGACACTTTCTGCACCCACCTCAGAACAGGGATGGCCTCCATTTACCGAATTCCTACTATGTGCAGCTACAGTGTCGGGGCCAGGCCCCGTCCCTGTTCATTCACCCTCAAACAACCATTACTGGGCCCATTCACAGAGGAGGAAACTGGCTCAGAGAAGCTAGGAAACTTAGCCAACGTGACACGCCCAGGTGTGGGAAGATTTAAAGCCAGGTCTCCTGGGCACAGCACTGGCTGCCTCTCCGGAGTCGTCTGACCTGCCATCTCTCTCCCCACTGTCCGACTGCAGCACGGCTAAGGCGAGGCAGGGCCCTTCCCAGTGGCCCCGGCCATGACCTGAACTTTCCCCCCTTTAATACTCTTGGTTTCTAGGAAGAAAATGGTTCATAAGGGCAAGAAAACAACAGGAAATCCTGCAAGTACTGCTTCAGAGGATCTTTGCCAGAGTCTCTCCTAAACGATTCGGGAGACAAAAGAACATCCAGATCACGAGTGGAAATGCTTACTTGTCTTCTGGTAAAGGACATTCTAGCTACTCCATAGAAATGGGAAGAGAGAGCAGAGAACGTACATACTTACTGGATACAAAGAGAACGATGCCTTTTATAACGTCTCCTTGGTCTGCCTTACAATAGATATTTGTCCCAGTTTCTCTAACGAAAGGAACGTTCTTCAAGTGGAACACACAGACGTTTGGATCAAGTTGTTCTCCATGCATCCGTACGCCTTCCAAATAACAGGATATGTTGTTTTGATGGCTCCTAGAAACGTAACAAATGGTGACATTGGAGCCTTCTTCCACCAGCTTATCCTTAGGGAAAACGAACAATGGATCGTGTCCAAGAGAACTCTGTACTACAAGACAAAAAAAAGACAGCTCAGTTAGAACATCACTCAAGTCAAACCAGCCCCTCTGTTCTCCCTTCTCAACAGATAAATTTACCTCCTCTACCTCCTCGAGAAATAGGAGCCTAAATTTCTAGGCAAACCATTAAACTTGGGAGCCTGCAGAAACAATCCTTCCCAAGATGGCTCCTGTGGTCACACGAAAGCTGCTGCTGGACAAAGACAGCATGTCCTGTCACACTGGGATTACTGGGTCACGGCTAGAATCTGGCTAGGACAGTGGTAGCTGCCCTCCACGGACCGAAGCCACGAGGGAGGATCTGCATTCAGTGGGCTGCACATGATCTCATGCCATCCTTCCCCCCTCTCATCACCACCACAACTAGGTCTGAGCCCAAGCTCAGCAAATGTGGCAAAGCCACATTCACACCTGCCAGGTGTGCCCATCTCCAAGGCCATGTGTCCCTCTTCATTTCTTCTCACCTTCTCAGAAATGCCAGTCACTCAAATATCTGTTCCATTGTGTCCCCTTCTGTATGACCACCAGTGTATAAAACTCCTCAGGTGTCCCGCATTGTAAGCCAACTCGCCATCCTCCCCATGCTTCCCTCCAGCCCACTCTGGACCTGCTCCTCCACGGTCAGCCTCCCTGAAGGAGCTGCCCCTTTCTAAGCGCTTGGCCCCATTGCTCCTGCTCACTCGGCCCACTGCTGTCACTGAAACTGCCACCAGCAACGTCACCCACACCGTGTAGCCTGGGCATAGGAGCGCTCTTAAAGGTCCTCAGGTGATTCTAACGTGTAACCATGGTTGAGAACCAGCGTTTGGGGGTTAGGAACCATCAGTTAGGCTTTCCATTTGTTCCTGAGTAGTTTGGAGGTTATAGTTTTGAGAAATCTAGTCTATCTTATCAAAGTTGTTACTAATGTTGTTCTCTCTCTCTCTCTTACTATCTTTTTATTTTAATCTCTGTTTTTCTTGTGTGTGTTCTCTTTCAACAGTTGGATGTGATGTGAAGAGGGCGGTCCCTGGAGCCACGCTGTCAGGTTGGAATTCTGGCTCTATCGCTAACTGGCTTGATGACCTTGCGTGGGTTCTTTAAACTAAATGTGCCTCAGGTTCCTCATCTGTGAAGTGGGAATAAGACTAATACACATTTCAAAGGACTGAGTTGAAGGCTAAATGAATATGTAGACTACTTAGAATATGACTAAAATGCAGATTTAATTCTATTACCAGTATTAAACTAATCACTAGGCCACTCACGGGTTAATGTGTTATCAGTTTGACTTAATAAATTTGCATAAACACTTAACATTCCTGTTCTATTGGCAGGAATTTCAGATACTCTGGCAGGGTATATAGGTTGAGAGAGAGCCAAATGCCTTTGCTTTAGAACCTGCCTATAGTTCAAATGAAGCATAAGAAACTGGAGAAATCTACTCTAAATCTTAATTATAAAAAAATTAATTTATCAAAATTAAGAGATATTGAAGACATATTTATCCATAATCTCATTACTCAAATGAAGACCCGATTTTACTTTTCCATATTTCACCCCCTTCTCTCTACATCAGGCATCTTCGGACTATAGCCCTGGGCCAACTCCAGCCTGCCATCTGTTTTTGTAAATAAAGTTTTATTAGAACACAACCATTCTCATTTGTCTACATATTGCTTAGGACTGCTTTCATGTTAAAATAGCACAGCTGAATAGTCCTAAGACCACCAAGGTCTGTAAAGCCTAAAATATTTCCTATTTTGCCCTTTACAGAAAAGCTTCCCAACCTCTGTTCTAGATGCATACACATTTTGTCCTATTCTAATAACGACATGTGCAATTTATGTCCTGCCATGTTTTCTTAGCATTGCCTGTGTCACATGTTTGGAAAATGAATATGAAGGTGTCTGAACTTGCCTAATTACCTCAATGAGCAAATTCTGAGGCAAAACCATAGATGTCTATCTCCTGGTGGCAAGTTTCACACCCACAGTTTTTAGTTCCAAGGGAAGACAAAGAAAAACAATGTCCTTTTTCTACCCAGTCTCCTCAAAAGAGACTTCCACTATTTGACTATTGATCCCCAAATAATATTAAATATGAAACACTTTAATTCTTTTATCACCTCACTCCTTACCATCTACCTCCTCCCACGAAGTCCAATTGCTCCAGAACCTCAGCTCGGGGACCTGGGCGTCATCCACCGCACCCCTCATTCTTACAGAGTGTTTTGCACATTCCAAAGGAAGCTTGGATTCCCAGCTCCAACGCAGAACTTGGTTCCGCTTCACAATGGTGCTATAGTTCTCCTAGAAATAAAGAGAAAAACTTGGAAACATGGAGCGATGCTGCCCTGGAAAATGGCTTGACCAGTTACCCCAAAGCGCACACCTGAGAGCCCACCGAAGCTCCCAACACGCGCAAGCGTAGTTCATTCCCCATCAGCCAGTCACCCCTGCTCCAATGTCTCAGCAGCACCTGCCGCAGCCTCCTGTCCTTTGAGAACTCAGCTCCCATGCCCTATGGCTCATGTGGAGGAAGTGAGAGAAAACTGAAGCTACTTACGTCTTAGGGGAAGAGAGCAGAGTCAGAAGGTAGGCACCGTGCTTGTCACACAGGCCTGCTGAGAAAAATTTTTGCAAACTAGAGAACTGAGTCATTCTTTAAAAATAAGGAAGACCAGGGGCGCCCGGGTGGCTCAGTCAGTTAAGCTTCCGACTTCGGCTCAGGTCATGTCATAGCTTGTGAGTTCGAGACTCCCCCCCCCCCCCCCCCCCCCCCCCCCCCCCCCCCCCCCCCCCCGCCCCCCCACCCCCCTGCAGTCAGGCTCTGTTCTGACAGCTCAGAGCCTGGAGCCTGTTTCGGATTCTGTGTCTCCTCTCTCTCTGCTCCTCCCCCACTCACACACTGTCTCTCTGTCTCAAAAATAAAATAAACAATACAACATTAAAAAGTATAAGCAAGACTAATGAGTATTTTTTTAACATTCATTTTTAGCCAGGGTCAGATCATGTTGGCCAAATCTCAGTAGAGAGGGCAGCCCTTCATGGCACCCAGGAGTTCCACTGTCAGAAGCCAGTAGATGGATCTCCATGAGGCCCGTGGGCTTTGTTTGTCTGTTTTCTGTTTCGTTTGGTTTGGTCCCTTATCTTTGTAGACCTGGTGGCCACAGGGACTGGATCCTCTTCTTTGAGCTCCATCTGTCAGAATGTCAACCACACAGGAATGTCTTCCACTGTGGGAAGCTTGCTCACGTGGAACTACAACTGGTCTTCCCCCACAGCCTTTAATCTTGACCTTTCTAAATTACTGGTATTTTCATTCTCTAATTCCATAGGCTTCTATGGCTCCTGTAAACCATCTACAGCCATGTATATTCTGACCCCAACCTACCTCTCCCTTGCAGGAATCTCTCTGGACACAGTGCTCTACCTCGCACTTCGGGAATAGCTTTACGCTTTTCCACCTCAGCGTTTCCTCACACAGGGCCCCTGGCTCGGGTCCCCACTCTCCCTGCACACTATGCAGGTGCAGGACGCACCCAACCCCACCTCTCCTGAAGCCCTCCTGTACACTGTGTGTAGCTGCTGGTACTTCATCTGTCCTTGTGTCCCTGGCTCGAGCATGGCCCCAAGACCGCAGGGACTGGGTTTTATTCTTGTTCACGTCCCACACGGCTCTGGGCACGCATGCTCCTCGGTGGGCCCCTCCAGGACACCGGCTCTCGGCCCCCACAGCTGGGTGACGGGACAACAAACACCTGCGCTTCCTGCGGAAAACTGAGTCTGAACCCCCATCTCTAAGGGCCGAGTGCAAGCCCTACAATCAAGAGGATGGGGCAACATGCATGTCACACACAACCTGGAGCTGGCAAACCTTGAGGCCTGCCCTCCACTGATGCCTTCTTCTCTTCCCAGGCTGCCAACCTTAACCATCACCCTGGGCAGAAGCCAACCCAGCCCTGGGGTGAGAGTACCTCAGTCCACCTGGGCGGCACCCGAGGGTGACTGTGCTCATCCTCTATGCAGGACTGGTGAGTTACGGAATGTTTCCATCTCGGTTTATTGGATTGTTTGATCTCTAAACTACAAAATATATTTTTTATTTTTATTTTTTTGTGATTTATTTATTTTTCAGAGACAGAGACAGAGTGTGAAGGGGAAGGGGCAGAGAGAGAGGGAGACACAGAATCTGAAGCAGGTTCCAGGCTCTGAGCTGTCAGCACAGAGCCCGACACGGGGCTTGAACTCACAAACCGTGAGATCATGACCTGAGCTGAAGTTGGACGCTTAACGGACTGAGCCACCCAGACACCCCTATTTTTTATTTTTTTCTAAAGTTTATTTATGTATTTGGCGGGGGGGCAGATAGAGAGAGGGAAAGAGAGAATCCCAAGCAGTCTCTGCTCTGTCAGCACAGAGCCAGACATGAGCCTCAAACTCACGAACCACAAGATCATGACCTTAACTGACTGAACCATCCAGGAGCCCCTAAAAAAATATTTTTTAAGTATAACTTTTCAGGTCCTGATCTATGCAACTTCTACTATTTAATATGAGCAGTCTTGAGTATATTTTCATTAAATATTGTTTAAGAGCAAATACCAAAAACAAAACAACAAGATTGTATCCATAATGGAGACCCTGCTGTCAACAGGCCACAGTCTGGATTTTACCTCCTTCTCTTTGAGATTTAGCCTCTTTTGTCGTCTCCACTGTCCCCAGCCACTCCACGCACCTCTCTGCTGGACCCACCCCACAGCCCGCTTCATAGAGGTCACACTCCGCCTCTTCCAGCTTCCCCACCCGCAGCCAGAGTGGACTTTTCAAACACGTCCAACCAGATCCTGTCATTCCTCTCCTTATGGCTGTCAGGATAAAACAGGAGAAGTGACCATGACCCCCAGTGTCCGGTGAGGCCCACTCCTGGGTCACGCCCGCCCCCAAGTGCTCAGTGTTTTCAGGCCTGGGAGCTCACAGCCCTTCCCTCTGGGCCTTGGCTCAGACCTGTGGGCTCTTCCCAGAACATTCTTCTCCACCCTCCCTTCTACACTAGCTTCTAATCCTCTCTCTTATTTTGGCTCAAACCATCCTTTTTCAAGTTGCTGGAGAAGGTCCGGCCTAATCCCAACCCCTCAGCGACCTTGTCAGCTGCCAGCATGGCGCTTCCCACATTTAGGACACCCTTGTTCCTGCGTTTACCTCCTCATTCCCGCTCAGCGCTCACAGACCTGTGCCTTGAATTAATGGCTGGACCCAGGCTCCCAGTCTCCAACGATGCGCTGAATGATCTCATCACTTCATTAACATGCTGTGGGCTCTATTTCTTTCAGACACTACTTGTGTGGGTTCTGTCTAACCACAATTTGTGCTGTGTGCTGTTTAAAGACTCACAATGCAGGAGATAAAATTTTCCTTGAATGCATCAATTCAGTGATTACAAAAAAAAAAAAAAAAAAAAAAAAAAAAAAAAAAGTGATGAACTGTGTTTGGGCTGTTTTCACCAATTGAAGTGGCAAGTTTCATTCGGCCCCGGCAGACACCAGTAAGTCACAAGAAACTGGCACACGCATCGATACGGAAGTCCAACTGAGGCCACCGACTGGCTCCTGAGGTGCTCGCGGAGCCCCGGCCGACGGCTCCGGGCCTCCTTCTGGGCTGGAGCTACCACCCGACTCTGCCTTCTGCCACTGCCGGGACCATAAAGCAAGTGGCTGGACGGGCCGAGGGCAGAGCCCGGCCCAGGGGAAACCGTGTAGAGCCCGTGGCCGCCAGCAAGGCTCCGAGTGGCCCGCGCCCTCGGGGAGGTGGCTCAGGGGCCTGGCCCAGCTGTGAGCACTTGGGGCAGGGGGCTCTTGCTAGGCCTGTTTAGGAACAGGATCATCTGAGGCACGAGTCCTAAAAGCTACTCCTTCTGCGCATGAATGCAAGTGTCCCGTCAGGCTTGCATTACAGGGAACGGCCTTATGAAAGGGAGATGGCGCTCGAGACAGAAGCAGACCCCCTTGGCTGCCTTTCTTCCCCCGCACTGGAGGGGGAACCTCATGTCTTTTCTTGACTTTAGGCCTGCGAGGTTCAGACAAGGGCTTCTCACGGCACTGTTGTGGGACACACGGCCACTGACGTCCTGGGGACTGCGTGTGGCCATCATCGCTGACCGGGCACGTGGGTGAAGGAGGGCACTGCGCTGACTCTGTCACCTTGAGTAGCACAACAGACCTCTCTAGGCCTTGGTTTTCTCCTTTCCCCCCATCAGGCTGAGCTGGGTGATATGGGGACAATACCTTGGACAAAGATCTTGAGTCTTAGTAGTTTCACAAGGTGCTTTACCCTGAGAAAAGAACTCTTACACGAATCAAAGGTGAAAACAGATATGAACAACTGCCCGTTAGGAAAATAGAAAATGGAACTCAGTCCGTCTATGGTCAGTGTCACTTCTGCTAGTAGTGTGAGGTACTAGTTTTCCATAGATTCTTCCAGCATTTCTCCTGAATTTCTTTTTCTTATACAATTAGTCTCAATATGACCTTTGCGTAATATTTTACTGGGTCCAAATCAACAACGAGTGAGTGTATCCATCAAAGATATACAAACACAAAAATGATTAGCATGAGGTACAATAGTGGGAAGATGTACCGACGGTGGGCGGTGAGCAGCTGTCCATGAGCATTACTGTTGTTTAAAATCAGAACACCAACGAGCTTTCATTCTTGGTAGTTTCCCATGGACGTGTGGAATTGCAGACCTGGTATCAATCCTAAATTCACAGAGTCAGAGTTCTATTTAATTTAGGCCTCTCACTCAGATCTCAAATGCAATCACGAATATGGAAAGTAACTGGAGGCTTCAAAATTAGTGGCATTTATGGGGCACCTGGGTGGCTCAGTCAGTTAAGTGTCCAACTTCGGCTCAGGTCATGATCTTGTGGTCTGTGGGTTCGAGCCTCGTGTCGGGCTCTGTGCTGACAGCTCAGAGCCTGGAGCCTGTTTCAGATTCTGTGTCTCCCTCTCTCTCTGCCCCTCCCCCCGCTTGGGCTCTGTCTCTGTCTCTCAAAAAAATAAGTGTAAAAAAAATTTTTTTTAAATAACACAAAATTAGTGGCATTTATACTTTATTAAAGGAACTAACCATTCTGTACCCTGTACCCATGCCTCCACTGCCTGAGAGAAGATTGTCCTTCCACTGAGCAAATGGAGGTCCCCAGCAATGACACATCCCTGTGTTTCCCTTCAATTCAGGCAAATTCTCTGTTCCCCTTCAATGAGACAACATTCCATTGTACTGTCTTTCAACATCCCATGATAATGAACGAGCATGATGTATGTATAGATTAATTAAGATTCCCTGGACCATAAATGGAAATTGAAAGAAACCACCAAAGTGTCACAGTGCACTAGATGGAGAAGCATCAGCTAACTGGACACAACCATGATTTGAACCAAGGCAAGTGAAAAATCTATTCCAAAGAATTCAAAGGCAAAGAGATTGTGAAAATAAGGATTTTCACAATTTAATCTGTTGTAGAAAAAGCCCCAAGTGAGGCAACAAAGAACATCCTGTGCTACTCTCCAACATGGTAGGTCCATGAAGAACCTCTTTCTTTACTGGATAGAAATGTATTTCAGCATGGTATGAGCAAAGAAACTGACAAGAAGAATGTTGCCAAAAAATTATACCTTATTTAGGAAAATCTCTGGTGGACAGGGAAGAGGAAAGAGGTTGACCTTCATGGATTTTTGGAATCTAGGACTCATAAGGACAGCCCCAAGAGCCTTCTTAGGGGACAGGGCAGAAATGAAGAAATAATCTATTTTCTTAACACATCTCATCCAACCTACTGAACCAAAGATGTCATGTTACTTTGTCCTCTATCCTTTTAACTAAAAACACAGAAAGGTAATTGTTTAGGAAAACCATTTTGTGTTGCTAAGTGTTTCCATATTGGGATTTTTGCAAATGTTATAAAAGACAAATCACGGTGTCAGAAAAGGAGTTTTAAAATGTTGAGCCAAAAAGATGAAAAAATACTTACCACCCAGATGACATTAGATGTTTTAATTCTACTGATTTCTATCTGAAAAACCATCTTTAATTCCTGATGATAAGCAAGGTTGTGGACACTCCATTGTAAATGCAAACACTGACGTGCAGAATCGATGGAAACTTCCAGTGATTCAGGGGCCAATGACAAGGGTTCAGATAAGACTGAAAGACCAAAACCAAGACATTTAATACAAACAATGAAATTTAATAGGAGCACAACTGAACAGTCACAGATAATAAACTGGTCAATATCACCATTGTTTAGTTTTGGAAAATACTGCTCACATGTGCACCTTAGAATCAGACATCTTAAAAATCTGTAAGGGAATTTAGAAGCCAGTTGGTAGATGAAGAAATTAAGATCTAGATAAATGAAATGGCTTGCTCAAGAAGACACAGCGAGTTACTAAACTGATAAACAGTAAAACAAAAGGATATTTTATTGGGCAATCCAACTGGTTTAGAAACTTCTAGCAAGGCCAAATAAAGCAAGAGGACACTTGGCTATAAATGTCATATTTCTGGAAATCAAAAAGAATTATCTCTCTGAAAGTCAATATTTTATAGTTTATTAAAAGACTATGAAGTGGGAGCACATCCTATCTCTAGACATGATTACTTATGTGTCAATGCACTAAACTTAAAACACCTCTGGCAAGAATTTACTAAACTCTTTGAATGAGACCAGCAAGGCAGTTAGTGTGATGTCAAATAGTTGTGACAACATTCTTAGCTCAAGGAGGGAACACAGCTGGAGAGGCACAAGGGGCTCAGAATAAGTAAATCCATGGAGAGATAAAGCAGATTGGTGATTGCTGGGGCTGAGGAAGGGAGGAATGCGAAATAACTGCTTAATGATTATAAGGCTTCCTCAGGAGGTGATAAAAATGTTCTCAAATTACAGAGGTGATGGTTGCATATTTTGAATGTATTAAATATCACTGATTTGTTCATTTTAACCATAAAATAATTAATTTTATCTTACATGAATTTCACTTCAATAAATTTTTTTTAATATATGTGATCATGATGATGTTCAAATAATACAGAAATTGAGTCCCCACCAGGTCCATCCTACCCAATCCCTTCTCTCTCCATTGCCAAGTTTGAATCCTATGTTTTTCTTGACCTTTTTCATACACTTTCTAAAAATACACTGAACTATACATTCCATTTTGTACTTTTCAAAGTACTTATGTTATTTTTTAAAAAGCTATGGAGGGGGGCGCCTGGGTAGCTCAGTCAGTTGAGCGTCCAACTCTGATTTTGACTCAGGTCATGATCCCGGGGTCGTGGGATCAAGCTCTGTGTCGGGCTCCATGCTGACAGCACAGAGCCTGCTTGGGATTCTCTTTCTCCTCTCTCTCTGCCCCTCTCCTCTGCCCCCCCCCCCCACACACACTCTCTCTCTCTCTCTCTCTAATAAAAAATAAAATAAATAAATAAAAAATTTTTAAAGAAAGCTATAAAGTGAGGTAAAACTACTCTATTTCTGGACTGAGAGGTTGAGTGATTTTAACTTGCTTTTTTATACTTTTCTGTATTTTGTAAATGTTCTTCAGAAATATGCATTACTTTCAGAGCCATATGTTAGGTTTTAAAAGAAATATTTCTCTAAGATAACGGGTTCACTTCACTATGATGACACTTTCAGAATGCATAATTTAGTCCTGTAAGTCACTTTGCACCAAAAGGCTGGGCACCAGTCACTTTTCCAGTTTTATTTCCCACTGAAAATTAATAAATTGGTATTCTGATTCTTCTTTTTTAATGTTTATTTTTGAGAGAGAGAGAGAGAGAGAGAGAGAGAGAGACAGATAGACAGAGTGTGAATGGGGGAGGGGCAGAGAGAGAGAGAGAGAGGAAGACACGGAATCCGAAGCAGGCTCCAGGCTCTGAGCCATCAGCACAGAGCCTGAGCCTGACGTGGGACTTGAACTCACAAACCATGAGATCATGACCTGAGCCAAAGTTGGACGCTTAACTGAGTGAGCCACCCAGGTGCCCCAGGAAGGAGTATTTTTCATAACTGTGGCACCAGTAGCCCCGGGGAATGCCGGTGCCTGCTAAATCATCCCGTCTTTCCCAGCCCTCATCGCATCCTGTCTGCATAGTGGTTTGTTGCCGTCGGTCTCACACTCTAGATTCAAACTTCCTGGGGGGGGGGGAGAGGCTGAGGCGTAGGCATCTCTGAATGGACTCTTGTCCCCAGCACTTGGCACAACATCTTCTCCACAGCAGACGCTGACCTCAAATTAGAGAGACCCAGGATCTCCACAAGGGCTCAGGAGCATGACAAGCACTGGCTCACTAACACCTCTACTCGGCCTTGGCGTTCTCTTCTCCCCAGGGCTGCTTTTCTAAGCCCTTGTTTGGGCAGTGATCGCAGCGTGCGGAAATAGCCTCTCCTGTGTCCCTGCCAAGGACTGGGAGCTAAAGAAGGGTGTAACTGAGTCTTACTCAGCTCACTGAAACCAAGACCAGTAACGCACCTGTCACAGTGTAGACACCATGACCGCCTGCTGAATGAATGAGTCAACCACCAGCATCGACTCTTTCTGGAAGCTCTAGGAAGCTATCGCATGATGCTTTAGGCAAAAGAGGAACACTATGGGCGCCTGGGTGGCGCAGTCGGTTAAGCGTCCGACTTCAGCCAGGTCACGATCTCGCGGTCCGTGAGTTCGAGCCCCGCGTCTGGCTCTGGGCTGATGGCTCAGAGCCTGGAGCCTGTTTCCGATTCTGTGTCTCCCTCTCTCTCTGCCCCTCCCCCGTTCATGCTCTGTCTCTCTCTGTCCCAAAAATAAATAAACGTTGAAAAAAAAAAAATTTAAAAAAAAAAAAAAAAAAAAAAAAAAGAGGAACACTATATGGATGTATGCTATCAGTGAGTGTTGAGTGACTCAGGTAGTTGAGAGACATCAGTCAGAAATAATTTGGTCAGAAGCAATTGAGGACTTCCTTGGGAAAGAGTGGGAAATGTCAAGGTGAAGTCAGAGAGATTAAGGGACCTCGGAGATTCTGAAGTCCAACCCCATTATTTTCCAGATGAGGAAACTGAGGTTAAAAAAAGGGAAGGGACTTTCCCAAGGTCACACAACTAGAACAGAACTCAGAGTTCTTGACCCTTGGCCCAGCTCTCTTTCTATAACGTGCACTGGAATGGGGCCAAGAAGGGCAGACTTGGCGATCAGACAGGCCCGGGTTTCATCACAGACTCTCCTCCCACTTTCCCCACCCAGCTTCTCTGTCTGGCCCCAACACTACTTAAGAAAATAAACCATCATCCACTTACAAGTTGGGACATCACACAGCCATTAAATATAATGCTATTTCAGAAGAATATTTACCCTCAAAGGTAAAAACCCTCATCATAATGTTGTATTGTGTGAATAAGTATATAATAAAGTATGTATTACTAAAGTATACATACTTCACCCATACATACTTTCATACTTTTCCTATATTTAAGAAATTATAGAACTTCCCAGCATACATACTTATACTATACACAATATACATACTTTATACATAGTTTAATAAGTATCTATATAGTATAAATACTTCCAGTATATATAGTACCAGTTTACTTCCATAAAAAATCTACGTATTTGCATCTCCATGTTGGTCTGTATATACTTGCACGAGAGAAAAGAAGAAAATACAACCAAATGCTAGAGTCGTGATCTCTGACTGAAGCAGACATAACCCAGGGCTAACTGGAAGTGAGTCTGGGCTCTGTCTCATTGTTCGGGAGAAGCTAGGTCGTCTGAACCGGAGTCTCAGACCCGAGCCTGGCTGGGTCATCGGGTGGGAGATTTAGCAGGTACTTGGCAGATGCAGCAAAAACCGAGACAAGAAATCCAAGCAGTGTAGGTGGGGACAGGAGCAGGAAGCTGGCAGAGCAGGCGAGCTGAGCTGAGAAAGCTGGAAACACAAATAAAGACTGGTAGAGAGAGAAAGAGGTACATGCACGTCTGATCTAAATAAAAGAGGCTGGAAGTGTGTTTTCTTCACCAGAGTTTCCTCTGAGAACAGAGTGTGTTGTAAATGGAAGGCACACAGTCTGTTGTCGTTGGATCAGATAATGAGACTTCACTAGGGAAGTGAGCTGTGCCAAAAGCCTGGAATTAAATGCCTAGGATTTCCTGGAGAGCCTGGAGTGGGGGTGTGGTTCTGTCTGGGAATCAGGGGCTCTAGCTGGGCCTGAACCTTCCTATGGTACGGACCACCCACTCAGTCCAGTTGTGTCACGTTTAGCAAGTAAGGGGGACACAGACTACAAATGAGAAGTCCTAATTCCCGTCTTTCAGCTCCAGATTATGGGGGATTATCAATAAACTATGAATTTTAAGAAGTCAGAAAAGTAGCATCTTCTCATGTAGCGTGAACCTAAAAGAAACAGACCCAGACCCAAAGAATATCAGAGAACTGAGCTATTATCAGAACAAAATCTCCTTTTTATTTCTAAACATCTTTTCACGGAGTTTTAAAGGAAATAGAAAAATTCTATGGGTATTTCTTGCAAACACCATTTTCATGAATCGATGGAAAGGAACTGTGTGAATAATCACTCAGAGCATATGCCTGTACTTTGTGTTACGAAGGGAGTATAGCAAATAAACCCAGAATGAGGAAAAGGTAAAGCTTTGTAAAATACAGGTGAAAGCAACACAATTTTTTTAATGTTTATTTATTTTTGAGAGAGGGAGACAGAGAGAGAGAGAGAGAAACAGAGAGAGAGACAGAGCATGAGCAGGGAAGGGACAGAGAGAGGAAACACAGAATCCAAACCAGGCTCCAGGCTCTGAGCTGTCAGCACAGAGCCCAACACGGCTCAAGAAGTTGGACGGATGCTTAACTGACTGAACCCCTCAGGCACCCCAACTAATGTTATAAACCAATAGACTCGCTCACGCTTGACTGTCAAGCTAGTTCAAAGTAATATACGAAGTATTTATAAACATCCTACCAGTGTTGAATTCTTACTGACGAGATTTACAAAGTTGGTATTTTGAAAAACCCCTTCATTGGGAGATTAGCTAAGTAACAAACACCATTTCTTCATCCATAAACAGAATTTCTTTACTTAGCATACTGTCTTGCAGCAAAGAGCTGCTCCGTGAATGCAGCTGAAGGACATCACAACTTGTTCTAACCTAGTGGCCAACACTGGGCTAGTGTGCCCCGTCTCCACATGGCAAGGCGCAGAAGGAATTTCTCTGGCAATGGCCATGTAGAGTGTCTATACCACAAAGTTCTGCCAGATTAGATCCACTCACAAGTGCCTCGATGACCAGTGCACTGACCAGGAAATCAGGGTCACGGTGTGGCTGATTACAATGAGCAATGAAGACCAGGATAGTCAAGACTAAGGAAACCATTACTCCTCACCAATTCCAAGTGATGGAGTGAACGCCTCACCAATTCCAGGTAATTGCCAAAGAAAAGAAGACTTGTTCCACTTTTCTCCAAAGCACCAATTACCTTGGTTTTTTTATCTGTTTTTTTTTTTTCTTTACCATTCTTTCCACTTCTTACCTTCACTCTGGTAAGTTTTCAAGGACAGCAATGCCAAGAGGAATGTTGTCTGAAAGGCTGAAAAGAGAGCCATAGGTTCTGGTTTTCTGAAAAAGATAAATTATACACAAGGAAAATTTTATTCAATTTTAGCTCTGAGCAGGTTTCTTTGACCCAATTGTGGTAGACGATGGTATTAAGGGCTCCCACTCTCCCCTCCTCCCTACGTCCATGCCCCTTGTCAGGTGAGTCTGGAGTTCCCCCTGCCCCGCAAAATAAGAGTGTAGTTCCCTGCTCCGTGTGACTTGCCCTGACCCATAATAAAACAGAAGCAGCGGGGTGCCAGCTTGGAGCCTAGACCTCAAAATGCCTTGAGTAATTCTGCTTGCTCTTCTGTGTTTCTTTGGCACGAAAAGAGCACTTCTGGCCTCCCCACCTGGACCCAGGGGGAGAAGGAGCAACACGGGAGGCAGAACTGAGTCACCACGGCTGCTCCCCCAGGGGCCAGCCAAGCTCAGCCAGCAGCCGGCCAACAGCAGCCGATCCCTGGTGCAGGAGCAATGACTGTTCACAGTGAGTGCGCCACCGAGGCTGTGTGCCAATAGACAAGTGACCTACCAATTTCTTCAGGCCAAGCGAAGGTTGGTAAAGAAGGGTAAAGCAAAGAAACGAAGTTAAATCTTTAAAAAAAAAAGGACCATGGTCAGAGAAGAGCTGTATTTGAACTGATTACTTACAGAGGAGTCATCTCCCTCAATAATATTTCACCGAGGAAAAACAAGCACATTCCACCTAGAGAGATAGGCAGTGTCTCATTGTTCAAAATAGTTTCCGGCTTTCCTTGCTTTAGAGGAGGCCTGTTAACGGCAGGTCAAAGAACTGCACTGATTCATCGGGTCCTTTGACCACAGGCCAATCTGAGGGCACAAAGAATGAACCTCGGTGACCTCAAGAAGGCTAACATGTTCTTAATTTATAGTAAGAGTGTTAGTCCACGGAAGCCTTGAGTTTCACTTTTTTACTTCAAAGTCTGACTCATCGCAGAGAGAGGCAATTAAACAGTTCAGAGCCCATTTTGCCTCTGTCTAGCCACCTGGACTTCATCAAAAGCCAGAAAATCAGTGAACCACATCACCCGTTTTCACTACCCCCAACTAAATGGGAACAGCAGTGAAGACACAAAAAGACTACACCAAACCATTCCATTCTTCTAGGGTAGTCAAATCTGCTTACACACGAGCCCGCCTGCAAACAGGAGCAAAAGTCTGCAAACGACGGCTTTTAGTCACAGTCCTTTAAGCACCACCTTCCACTACTTCTACTTTTGGTGGACGGGTCATGCGTCCCCCTCTAACATCCCTACTTACAACTTCAAACAGGTTCCTGTTACAATTAAATATCAAAGCCAGGGAGAAAACCAAATTCAAGAGAAAATCGTTTCTGCTCAGAGCCAAAGGCAAGGCAAAGGAAAATGCTGGCACGAAGCCTCTGGCGCTCAGTGTGCAACTGAAGCATCCTTCCAGTCCTAGTCTACGGGTACAGGATCTTCCCGTCCCAGCACCGACACCACCTGAGGAACGCAGGGTGCCATGCTGTGAGGAAATCTCATCCCATAAATCGAAGACCAGATGGTTCAGGGAGTGAGGTAGGCTGCCTGATGTTCTCTGTACGAAAGGGCTCTTTGAAGTGTTTTTAGAATTTTGGAGTTCTGGTAAGTCAAACAGTTCACATGTTGCAAAATGTAAACAAATTATAGAGACAGAGAAACTTAAAACCAAAAGTTAGAAGCCACCTACCCATCGAAGGTAACCAGAAATTAAAGAATAAAGTTTTCATGTAACAAAGCCAAAAATATGAGCATTTACAAAGGACTTGTTTCTATGGTCTGATGATCACAGGAAAGTCTTTGAGAAGCACCAGGACGGTCCCGTCTGGAAGTCCCGCCTTCCCCCACTGTCTCATACATGGCAGGTTGTGAATCCGAGGAGGCTGGCTTCAGCAGCCATTCAGATCCACGGTTTTTCCTTTCATCTGTTCTGACGTGCACCGTTTTAGACGTGCTAGACAGGTGGCAAACGGGACACAGCAGTCACTGCCTGCACCTGGGCGAAGTGCTTATTTCCCGTGGTGTGACTGGACAGCCCCCATCCCAACACTTCCAGGTCCCAGACCACGCCAGGACCACTTGCAGAGGGATTACGGGTCCTGGCTGTCGTCTGAATACTCTGGCAAAATCAGTAAAGTTCACCAAAACTTGCAGAGTGACAGTCAGCAGCTGGAAGAACGTCCCAGAGACACCGGTGTCAGCCTTTGGGAAACGCCGCACGAAGTTTTCCCGACGCTTGATGCCGTGCGAACGACACAGACACCCAGGGCTCTGAGTCAGCTGCTCCCAGGCCCCAGGTGACCCTGCACAGCCCATGTGGCCCCCACCCCTCCTCCTCTGTAAACCTGCCTCCAAAGACCCTGTGCCTACTCCGAGGGCACCAGCTCTTGGCTGGTGAGCTCCCCACAACCACAGGGAAGAACCTGGAGGTGAAGGGGTGAGTGGCACCCAGACGCTGAGGTGGGAGAGTGCTGGGCTCATTCAAGGAACAGCAGGAGCTCCTGCTGCAGTGAGAGGTGAGAAGCAGGAGGTGAAAACAGAGGGTCCACAGAGGGAGAGCAGACAGGGAAGCATTTTCCCAACTGTGGCCTCTACCCTGAGCCAGGTGAGAGCCACTGGGGAGTTTCGGGACAGGAATAGCCTATCCCACTCACCAGAACAGGAAGAGACGGGTGGGGACAGGGGGGGCAGGAGCGGTGGGAGGGACAGCAGTTAGGAAGGTCTGCAGTAGTCCAGGGACAATGGCACTGGCTCAGGCCACGGTCACAGCAGTGGAGGCGGAAACAGCAGTGGAACTCAGGAGAGATCTGACAGACAGAGCTGGCAGGATGTGACAGGGGCTGACAAAGTCAGACGTCACGGGTGGCCCCCAAAATGGCCTGAGCTCTTGGCAGAAGGGAGGCTGCTATCAACAGAGAAGAGACGAACAGATGTAGTGGGCTCTATCGAGGGCTCGGTTTGCAGCTTGCTACATTGGAGATGCTTATGTGACAGCCACGTGAGCTGGCTGGACACACAAAGTGGGGTCCATGGGAGGGGTCCGGGCAGGGGTAGAAATCATCCTCGGTGCATGCATGTGGTACTTAAGCCACAGGACTGGATGATCGCCTGCAGACTCCATACAGACAGAGAAGAGAGGTCAGCACACGAGCTCTGGGGCGTCCTGCGCCCTAGACTGGACCCCTGATGCAGATCAGCGACACTGCAGGATTAGGCCAGGCCTTCCTACGGCACCTGGAGGATAAGGGCTGAGTGTGAGTTGGGCTGGCGAGCCCCTTCCGCGGCAGTCAGTGCTCCGCCTGTTCTCCTAGGGACTGCTGTTCCGGAGAAGCCCACCGTGCCCTCTGGTTCTTCCATCAGGCTTTCTCTTGCCATGTCCGTGGGGAGTATTGCCACTTCCAGTGTCCAGTAAGAAAAGGAAGTCAGGAAGAATTCAGAAAGGCAAAACCACTTTCCTGCCTCACCCACACTACTTAGTTCTTTGCCCAAATCTGTTCTTTATTTCTATTTTTCAGATCTCCATCATTCCCAGCCAGACTATGTGCTGCCTGAGGACAGGCCTGGACCCGAGTCCCCACTGTCTATCATAGTCCCAGGACGTGGTTGTTACCCAGTAAATATCCAGTAAATGAATAAACGTTTGTACTAATTTTCTCACATTCTTTCTTCTTTGCTTTCAATTTTATTTTATTAAGGAGATTCTTTTTCAGGCCCTTCTACTTTTCCTGTTGCCAAACATTGCCTAATTCATAGTCTTTCATTGACATTTCTTCTCTGGGGAGACAAAGGGAGAAAAGAAAAGAAAAATTACCCACTCATTTTGTAGAACTTCTCATTCAAATCTAGTCTCTGTGCAAAACGAAGATGCCTTTGAACGCCCCTCAGTACAAACACTACAGGCACAGCTTTTGCAAAGGGTGTGAGTCTGCCCTTCTTCGCTAGGACTTCTTGTACCGTCATTACTAAAATATTTATTCCTGGGAAGTTTCCTCACCATAAATAATACCCATGAGAAGCAACATGACCAGTCATTTGCTTCCCAAGAACGGGGGTGTGTTGCCAAACTCTTCAGAACTGGCTGGGTGCCCAGTGATGTCATATGCAAATTCTATTTTAAAGAAAGAAGCTGTTCATCCAGGAAGTGTGCTTGGGTGTGTGCTCCCTGTGAAAGAGTTCTGTGCGGCAGCACCAAGAGCTGCATGGCATGTTCCCCACATTTCCCAAGTTCATCTACTTTGTTCTTTTCTTTGAGCACTGCATGGTTTTGGGAGCCCTTTTGAAAGGGCCTCCACCATTATAGCACAGGATGCATTACTTGCAAGGTTTCACTGCAATTCCACCCCCCTTTCCTCCTAAAGTATCCACCACCCAGGGGCACCTGGGTGGCTCAGTCGGTTAAGCGTTGGACTTTTGGCTCGGGTCATGATCTCGCAGTTCATGGGCTCGAGCCCCGCGCTGGACTCTGTGCTGACAGCTCGGAGCCTGGAGCCTGATTTGGATTCTGTGTCTCCCTCTCTCTGCCCCTCGCATGCTCGCACTCTGTCTCTTTCAAAAATAAATAAACATTAAAAAATTAATTAATTAAATAAAATAAAGTATCCACCACCTGGAGGTGGTGCCCAAAGAAAGGTTTAAGCACTCCTTGTCCTCTCTTTAAACCTGCCTGGTTAAGTGTTTCTACTAGTTTTGTAAGATCATCCCTTATTTATGAGACTGAATTGGCTTATGCACACTTTTCTTTTTTTTTTTCTTTTCAAAATCTTTTTCATGTTTATTTATTTTTGAGAGAGAGAGAGAGAGGGAGAGAGAGAGAGAGGCAGAGCATGAGCAGGGGAGGGGCAGAGAGAGAGAAAGGGAGACACAGAATCAGAAACAGGCTCCAGGCTCCGAGCTGTCAGTACAGAGCCCGGTGCGGGGCTTGAACTCACAAACTGCAAGATCATGATCTGAGCCAAAGTCGGATGCTTAACCGACTGAGCCACCCAGGT